CACTGACAGGCTGGAGGAACTGAGTCTCTTTAGTCTGAAGGGACTAAAGAGTCCGCCTGCTGGAGAGACACAGTCACTGCCTACTCTCCCCGTACAGTACTGCCGCTCCTGCGGGTGCTACCCATGACTCCCAGTGCCGTTCAGGGAGAGCTCTCGCTCAGAGCGGCGGCATCTCGTGCTCATGGAAGTCGTGTCCTACATCCACCCACCCTCTTTCTAACCAGGAGCCGATCCCAGCAAACCGTGGGCACAAGGCGGAATACAGCCTGGACGGGACCCCTTTCGTATTTTCTGATTTTTTGCAATTTTTTGCCACTGGGTGTTTTCAGGGCTTCTGGGGGTTCCAGTGGTATATACTGTAGAAGGAGTCTGACTGAACCAATAACACTGAAGTGATGTGCTTGGTTTACTTAAAATACGAGTTTATAATATAGTTATTTTTTATTAATTCCTGATATATAATATCGTCCGTAGTTGAAAGTGAAAGTATTTTTTTTCTTAATAAAATCAACGTACAACGGTGTTTTTTCTTTGATTTTAATTTATCAAATTCCGTAAATACATACTTTGAAGTTAAAACAGTTTTGAATCGGAGAATAAAACAAAGGAAAAATGGTGGAAGAAAATGAACTCTGTAACTCACCAGAATGGACGTAGGTCTTCTTCGTCTCCATCTTGTCCGTGTTACAAAGTTTCGCTTTCTGTCATCATGGCGATTCCGGCGGTTAACGAGAATATAGCATTTACCCAGAGAGCCGCTTTATGCCTGTTGAGGATCACAACCTGGATCCTGTTATGCCAGACCACACCACTGTGAGACTTTTTAGTTCGTTGTTACAAAGCTTTAAATAAGTTACATTTTAAAATATTATCGAGTTCTATACTCGATAATAGTATATATAGTTCTAAGTTATTTGCACACCCCTATACTTCTCCTCTGCTAATAATTCTGAACCAGTTTAACTATTGTGGTTTTCCCTCTTTCAGTTTTATACATTGTTTTAGTGAATAAAATACCACAAATACTGCACTGACACAATCGATGTTAAAGACGAATTCAGAAGTGCGGAAGTACTCTAGAGAGCCCATTGCGTGCTTCACTGTGCGTCTGGAGGAAGAGGAGTGATGTGCACAGGACAGTACTCTCACGGCGAGTGTTAGAGTACTCAATTACATTACTTCATGTCTTATTGGTTCAGGTGTGTTTGAGATCTTTATTCGTTATATATTCTTATGTATTATACCTGTATTTAATTTGGTTCTCGATGGCGAACGTTAGCACACGTCTTTAATGTTTTACTTTCGTTTTCAGCTGTGGGTACGTTTCGGTCGGTAAAGATATCACGACGGCACTTTTAACAAATTTTATTTCTGTAAGGACAACTTTAGAATCATGTTTTTCGGACGGCGACGCTCCAGCGTTGCTATTTGGAAGCTGAGAGTACGAGTTTGGGAGGTCGTGCTCCTACTTCATGTTAAAACCTTTTATTCCAAAGTGTGTGTACGTATACGTCTCCCTAATATTGGCGGGTATACTGCAGCTGTGGCCTCCTTTTGGTTTTTAATGAAATGTGGTATAATATAACGTGGTAATTCTCGACACTTATTAGTGAGCTCTCAGTGGCGTGAGACCGTTGATTTGTGTGAAGAGATGTGCAGTATTCAATGCAACGCATTGACTTCATAGTCATTATAATGAACTTCGTCCGTTATAATGGAGAGAAATGAGCAAACAAGATTGCATATCTCAATCAGCAATTTAGTTAAGGTGAATCGGCTACAATATCGTGTATTTCTGGTTTGATAGCCTGAGGTTCATTGCTTTGAATTGACAGTGTTAATAGTAGTAATAATAGTCTTTTGGAGGTGGGTGATCCAAATGTGTACCACAGTTCTTTTGTTAACTTTCCGAATAGAGAAGCACCGCGCTGCTATGATACGCTAAATGGTTTTGTGAGGTGTGTTTATATTAAGAGACTCTATCCCCCCAGGTGCGAGACCGAGACGAGGCTGGAGGTCATGTCAGTCGCTGTGAATGGAGATCAGTGTATACTGTGAGTCACGGCCACTACTGCTCCACACTGCCTCTAACACTCCTCAAACACCCCAAAACTCCACCCAGGTGGTGTGTCAGACACTGCAGTGTGATTCAAGTACAGTAGGTACTGTAGCTGTGTCAGCATGCGTAGGGTGAAGAAACGTTTCTTTTCTTCTCTTCTCTGAATGGAAAAAGCCGTTACCTGTTCCTTCACGGCAATGTGATGTCATATACATGTAGAGTACACATTGGAGCTGTCAATCAGATATTCATTGTCAGGTGAAATGGTCAGAGAGTTCCAAGTTATTATAAATTGTCAGCTTTTATGTGACCCAGAAGGGCCCCACCAGTGCTGATGAAACTGTGTGTCTTGTACAGTATCTGCCTGCGTGTCTGGGTGTGTCTGTCCTCACTCCGTCCTCCTGACGTGAGCTTGCTGTGTCTGTCTCCTGTGTCCCTGCAGTATGTGAGAGTGGCAGCAGGCGGCCAGTGTCCACAGAGGAGGCTGCTGCCCCCCCTGAGCTGCGCCTGGTGCTGCCGGGCCGGACGGGCTCTGGGAAGAGCGCCTCGGGGAACACCCTGCTGGGCCGCAGGCACTTCGAGACGCGGCTGGGCGCCCGCCCCGTGACACGGGCCTGCGAGAGGGCCGAGGCGGAGCTGGGGGGCCGGAGACTGGTCGTGATCGACACCCCCGACCTGCTGGACACCCGGGGCCACACGCCTTCCTGCTCTTCCTGCTCGTCACGCGCTTCTCCGACCAGGACGGGGGGGCGCTGGACACCCTGCGGAGGCTGTTCGGGGAGGCAGCAGTCCGGCACACCCTGGTGCCGTTCACCCGCGGAGAGGACCTGGAGGGGCAGGGTGTGGACTCCTTCCTGCACAGTGCCGACCCCGAGCTGCGCCAGCTGGTGAGGGAGTGTGGAGACCGGCACCACCTCTTCAGCAACAGGGACACCCCAGGAGACCGCTCCCAGGTCACAGAGCTGCTGGACAAGATCGACGGGGTGGTGCAGGAGAGTGGAGGCTTCTACACCAGAGCAATGAGTCAGGGAACACAGACCACGCAGGCTGAGGAGGGTGAAGGCCAGGGAGCAGATGGATCTTCACTTCCAGCCAAGAGGAGAAACAGCATTCTATTTATACCCCCAAACCGTAAGTCCCTGAGAACAGTGCTTTCGTTGCAGGACGGCAGGACAGGAGATCAGAAGTCTCAGAAGCACCGAGTCCTCATGTCTGAAATACTGTCACCTGCTTTCAATTTCACTAAAAACCTTTGATTGGCTGGACAAATTTAACATTGACTCAACAACAAGAGCCCGGAGGAGCGCGGCCAGGTCACCAGCCTGCTGGACAAGGTCAACGCCATGGTGACGGCCAACGGGGGCGGCTGCTACACCAACCAACTGCTACACCAACCAACGACATGTACAGCGAGGTGGAGCGCATGATCCAGCACCGAGAGCGGCAGCTGAGGCACCAGTACGAGGCGGCGATGCGCCAGAAAGAGCAGGAGCTCCGGGCCAGGTTCCAGCGGGAGGTGGAGGAGCTGCGGAGGAGCCTGGAGCAGAAGCTGGAGAGGCTGGAGGAGGAGGGGAGGCAGAGGGACACCAGGATGAAGGAGCTGGAGGAGAAGCACAGGAGGGAGCGGGCGGAGTTCGAGCGCTTCTACAATGAGAAGAGGAAGAGCGCCCGGGAAGAGGCCGAGAACTCGGGCTTCACCTACAGCTTCATCGTGGGCATGTGGGAGCAGTTCAGGAAGATGGCGATTGGGGGTCCGTGCGTAGAGTAGATCCAGGACTGCTCACAGCAGCACACACAGCAAGCTGAGCCATGTAAACGTGTCCTGTCTTGACATTAGGTAACTTGGATGGCTGGCGCCTCTGCCATCTAGCAGTTCTAAGGCTGCTAGGAACCCTGTCCCCACAGACAGGTTGTTGCATCTCCCAGAGCCACCAGCACAGGGCAGTCCTGTTGAGAGGGTCTCTGGGAACTTTGTACACACTTTCCTTGCAGAAGATGTCATATTTCATGAGGTGGACATCCAGAACTGCTTTGAAGTGGATTGGAAGAATGCTGGGCACAAGGGTACTTTGTAATTCTATTCTGTCACATAGTAATGTGTGCTACGAACCTAAGTAACCACTTGTATTAAAAGCAAAAGGGAGGTAGGAAGATGTGCGTGATTTTTGAATCCTGCCAGTCTTGTAAGCACAGGGAAGTGTTAATGATGACAGGAAAATATTTAAGGACTGTTCTATGTTGTCAAAGACCCCTTTAGCCAGTGTCCGCCTGGAATTTTCCCCCTTAAACATTTTGTTATATCTCTGCAGCAGAACATAGCGGGAGCCTGGTTCAGGTCTTAAATTGAAGGCAAACCCCCTTGGCTTTGAGTGTGAACAGTCAGATTGCTTGTATTTCTTAATGTGTCACCTCAGCAGACAAACATATGGAAAAAAACAAAACAGCAGGCGGAAATTTTGTTTTGGTCTTCAGAGGTCAGAATTTTCTATTCTAGGCCTGTCAGGTAGAAATGATTTGAAAAGCTTGTTCAAAGTGTCTACTAGCTTGGATAACAATCTGGGACAAATTGATCAATTTGAAAAAAATCTACATAATGTTTTGTGAAGACTGGACCTGGAAAGAAATTTCTCGCATATAATAAATAAATCATAAAAAATATGGAAAGCAATAACAAAAACCATTGCAATTGCTATAAAAACCTTTAGACACTGCTAGAGAGCCTTTTTCTGCTGTTAGGCATTGGAAAAAAAACCTCAGAGTTGCCTTCTGGTGTGAAAAAGGAGCACTGATAAGAAACTGATTGATTACCCTTCTGAGTCAATGACTGACAGCTAGAAGGCAGGCGAATGCAACCTGAGGCTTCTAGAGGAGGTTTCACCCTGAAAATTCAATGAATGACGGCGCTTTTTACCAATCAGATCGCCTGTTTTCTGGCGGTCCTGCTTCAAGTCAATAACGTTCAGTTTCCTCCAGGTCTGGAGGTGGGTTAGTCTAGCCTTTTGTGGATATACAATATATCGTTCTTCAGAACAAGGTAAAAACATGGAATATATATTTTTTGCTGTTTTCTGCTTTTGCGGTCTTGTTTTGCTGGCTTATTGATTACCTTATCGATGCACTTTGGAAGTTTGGAAGTGCATCATCAGATAAAAAGTGACTTTGTGATTGAATGTCTTGTTTTTAAAATTAAAATGTTTTTTTTTTAAGCTCCGGTTGTCCTTTTTCAATTGATAACAAGTTTTTGTGGTTTTGTTGGTAAAAAAACAATTAAATATGATGCAGGAATCAAAAGTAAATATTGATTTACACCATGGATGCTTGCGACTACGCCAAGCACAGGCCAGGTTTGATGAAATGAACGGTTTTTTTTCGGTTCTGAAAACGATTTTGTGAAGCTCTAGTTGAACCTTTTTCGATTTATAAAGGGTTTTGTGGTTTTGGCGACGTAAAACGATGAAGTGAGATGCTCCCTTTAAGTCAAGTTTCTCAGACAGTAGCCGCATGTGGCCACGTTTGCACTAAGACGTTTTAATCACCTTGAGAAAAATACACAACGCGTCTCTGTGTGTTTCGCTCCCACACACACGAAATTAAAACTTCTTCTAACTTCTGAGACGGACTCCTGTCTTTTAAGGGGAAGCAGGGAAAAAAAGATTTCTCCACCAGTCCTGCCACAACGATCCCTCATGACTCCTGTCCACAAACAGAACACAAGAACAGAAAGTCATCCATGAGGGGGGCACACTCAGACCCCAATGAGGTTGGCAGTGTCAAGTAACCCGAAACCACTGTCCCAGGAAAAGAGACCCAGCCGCGCTCCGGTCTCCTGACTCGCCTCCTGCTGGCCCAGAGGGCAGAGAAACGAAACTCCTCTTCCTCACCTGCGTCAGAGCCAAGCAGCCTCTTGCTCATGTTCTTGCTCTGCTGCCCCCTGCCCTGTCTCTCCGTCTACAACTGCAGGGGGGAGGAAGACGATGCCTGAGCCTTCCTCTGCTGTTCTCTGTTAACTCCTGCCTCGTCCCCGGGTCCCCTCCTGTGCCCATATCTCCCCTTCCTGGGCAGAGCTCCCAGACCGAAATGAGGGGCAGGAGAGGGGGAATAGGCAGGCCTAATAATAGTAATAATAATTCTTCTTTGAAGAATTGAAGAACCCCAGAGCAGCACTGACAAGCAGAACTGAACCAGCATGTCCCTGGACTGTGGGAGGAAACCAGAGCACCCAGTGGAATCCCACAGGACATGGGGAGAGCATGCAAACTCCACACAGACAGCACTGCAAGTCCAGAATCAAACCTGGGGCCCCAGCTCTGTGAAGCAGCAATGCTGACTACTATGCTGCCTACTAATTTTAAACAAAAATGTTAAACTTATTTGGATATTTTTCACAGACAGTATATGAGCCTTTACCCAGACTGTAGATTGCTTAGCTTGAGAGCAGTGAGTGTTTGTTCATCTCAGAGCAGCAGAGAAGCAATAGGGTTGTTAACACGGCACCCACTCTGGGAAATCGAAACCTACGGCGAGCTGCACAGCAGAAATCGCAACTACAGTTCAGCTCAGGCCAGATAGCAAGGAATGAGGAAGTGGCGCTGAAGACAGGCTGCTGTTCCTGTGGAGAGCTCTCTAAATCCCTCCAAAGGTCTCCTGTACCATAAAAACAGTTCCAGCATCGATTCTGCTATTATCACAGTCTCCTTTCCTTAACTGCCTGTATGTTTTCCATAGTATGTCAGATTGCACTTTACTTTGGATTCTTGTGTGTGAAGGAGACTGGGTTTCCAGCAGGCTCAGAGTGTTGCTGGAATGTATGTACAGTATGTATGTTCCTCTCACTAGCAAGTGCTGTGAGTTCAAGGCGTCCACCCCTGCAGACTCATGGTAGGATTCGCACACAGGGCACGCTGTGCATTACCATCGATCAGTGAACATTGATTTAGAAAATGTTTCCCATCTGCTCAGTCTTACTGATCTCATCTCTCTTGCTACTGAGTGCACTTATTTCCTTACTTAATGTCATACTTATTTCTCCAATTCCAAAGGTTTCAGCGCAGTACTTTTTAAGTCATGATTTGCTATAATTCTGAAGTAACAGACCCTATGTATCACTATTTATTATTATCGATGCTCTTTTCTAATACTTTCAGTGTTAAAATACGTCCTCATTGTAGAACGTGCCTTGTGTTCCTGTTTGTAACTTTTTTATTAGGTGTTCATCAAAGCTGATTAATAAGTTTTCTTCTTATAGAATTCATGTATTTAATTGTTCTAAGCAGTAAAATAAGGATGTGTTGGAGCTGATAATAACAGTGAATGCGCAAATTGTGATCTGGAGGGGATCCTTTCCAAGGTCTTGCCTAGGAACCCCAAAAAACTAGAGCAGCTGGGAGGAGGCTGCCTAGCTGTGTCTGCACTGCGCAGCTGTGAGGGGGCTGTCCTAGCTGTGTCTGCACTGCGCAGCTGTGAGGGGGCTGTCC